TTACAGGCTGAACACGTTGGCACCACCAAAATGGTGAATTGAAAGAATCTGAAGGAAATTGAAACATTTTTGGAGTTATCAGGAAGGTACCCTCTGCTCACATCTATGTGAGCTTTTATTTTTCCCCCTGTGAAAGGAGAGCTTCTTAACAAAAAGAAGGGAGACGCGCCTTTCATGGCGTCTGGAAAAGAAAAAGGACTTGAAGTTTCAAAATTTCTTACTCAAGAAATTGATGATTTGGCAGAGTGGGAGCATTACTTCAGAATCTTCAAGAAAGCTACGAAGATGGCCTTTCCGGACTGTGGAAAATTTATTTCAGAGTATTCTAAATATATTAAATCTCAGTTCTGGTCTGGTGGCATTAGAGCAAATTGGAGAAACATTGCGGATTACAACGCGGCTTTTAGGAATCAAGTGGCCAATCGAAGATACGTTTGTTTTGCAGACTGGAACCATAAAGATTTCGATGTCCTTAAGACGCAATTTTTTGGTAGTGCATACAATCAATGTTCTAGTAATTTGGTGGCTCCTTTTTCTTTCGCTCTTTATAATCAGCCTTTTGTCAATCCGGTTGCTTCTTCTTCGTTTTCACAAGTAAGTAATCTTTATTGATATATTTCTTTTGATGTGTCACTTACTTTTTGGAGTAGCCTGCTGTCCAAGCTCCTTCTTGTAGAAAAGGAGCTCTTCAGGCAGGTCCTTCAACGTCATGACCGGCTACTCCTGGAGCTCATTACACACCTGAGCTTAAGCATAAGAATGGTTTGGGGATTACTAGCGCGAAGGGAGTCAAGCATGCGGAACAGTACTGTTTTGCATACAATTCTCCTGAGAACTGTTCGTTTTCAGATGCGGATTGCAGTAGGCTACACCTTTGTGTTGGTATTTTTTCCTCTTACTTTTCTTTTGTTTTTTCTTGTGATTTTGATGTGTCTTCGAGAGAGTTGTGGCTGACTGAAAAGTATGTTGCAGAATGTCCGGGGATGTGGTGCAAAACACCGCGGATGCGATCACTCCTGAAGAATATACTTCAGAGAGGTATCTTAGGGGGTATCAATGGGATGGTTTGAATCCTCTTGTCTTTTCAGCAGCCATTGAATCTAGTTAACTGCGGAACCGTTTCCGGATGCTCCTTCCTTAGAAGAAGATGAAGATGTGGCGTTTGCCTTGAAACGGTTTCATTATTTATTTAAAATTCAAACACCTTTTAATATTGATAAGATGGAACAATTACTGAAGTTCCATCCTAATCAACCAGTTGTTAAGTCTGCAATCAAAGGTCTCAGGGAAGGATTTTGGCCTTCATCTCGACTTCCGTCGTCAGAAATTGTGGACATTCCGAATCACAAAACTTGTTTTGAAAACCAAGAGCTTTTGGAGAAACAATGTGAAGAGGAAATTGCTAAAGGTCGCTATTCCGAAGAGTTTTCAACGTTGCTACCCGGAATGAAAGTCATTCCTCTGTTGATGACTTCAAAGAAAGATTCCGACAAGATGAGAGTTTGTTCAAATATGAGTTTCGGCAAACCGTCTCCAAATGAATTTTGATGGGGACAAAATTAAAGTTTTGTACGACTCACTTCAATCGTGGATGCCGTTTTTAATCGAGGTGAAGAAAAAACACGGGGACGTTACGATTTTCAAATCCAACGTGGAGGGAGCTTTTAGGACTCTTCCAGCTCATCTTCAATACCAAATTCAACAAGTTCTACGCATCAAAAAGAAATTCAGAATCGATCACAACCTCACTTTTGGCTCTTCAGCATCTCCACACATCTGGTGTGGAGTTTTCTCGCTTGTCCTCTGGATAGCGGAAGAAATTTTTCATATTAAGTCTCTTAACTGTATGATGGACAACGTTTGGTCCGCTGCGGCTGCCGACGATTGGATCACGTTTAATGATCACAGGATTCCAGGTCCCCAAGCCAAATTACTCATGGTTTTTGATATCTTGGGTGTACCTTGGGTATGGAAGAAGCAGGTTCACGGTTCGGTTTTAGAGATTATTGGTCACATCGTAGATTCTAAGAAGATGAGTGTGTATTTGGAAGCGGACAAGAAGTTGCTAATGATAGATGCGATTAAAAAGTTTGTGTCTACTCCGAGTCATTCACTTAGAGATTGGCAATCCATGCAGGGTTGGATATCTTGGGGCTTTAACTCAATGCCCTTAGGTAGATTTGCATTGCAAAGTCTTTATGAAAAGACGGGTGGAAAGACGGAACGGTTTCTCTCTATTCATCTTAATAAAGAAAATCAGGGCGAACTTCGGTGGTTGATTGATTATTTTGAATCAAGCAACGGAGTTTTAGTCCTGAAATCGTCAACTTGGTCTGCTCTTCAAGCCAATTTGTTATTTTATGTCGACGCATGTCCAACGGGTATTGGGGTGTGGGAACCTGGTTCAAGGAAAGCTTATTATCACAAGTTGCCACTACCTTCTCGTCATATTTTCTGGGTAGAGTTGTTAGCTGTTTTGGCGGCCATTGATTTGGGAATCAACGCAGGATCAAGAAGAATTTATGTGCATACCGATAATAAAAACGTTTTTCATCTATTTAACTCACACCGTCCTAACCAACTCATTCGTCCTCTTTTTCGTTACATTGTTCAACGGATGGTTGATTGTCAAGTGGAAGTAAAGGTTTCTCATATAGCTGGGTTGACAAACACCTGCGCAGAGATTTTATCTCATTTGTTAACGGACGCTGTTAACAGGAAATTTCATCCTTCATCTATTTCTCTTCTTAAAATCAATCCTGTTCTTGGAGCAGGTGGTATCGAAATAAACTTAGAACATTTTAATAATCCGGCTTTATCATGGCGTCGGGAGCTTTGATAAAACCATCGACAGTATCTTCAGTTAATCACATCAAATTATTAGTCAAACAAGATCAGAAAGCTATTATTAATATTTCAACTTATCAAAAGTACAAATCTGCTTTTAGAAGTTTTTATTGTTTTTGTTTACAATTCGGATATCTTTTCAATCCTAATTGTGATACTCTTTGTGCTAATTGTGATACTCTTTGTGAATACGTCTCATATACCTGCAGAAAAATTTCTCCTAGATCAGTTCGAATCTATTTAACTGGAATCTACTTCGTCTTCAATCTCAAATATACAAAAGTAAGATGCGAAACGAAGAACGAATTAGTGAAAAAGACTTTGAAAGGTTGTTTAAAAACTTTATCAAAGCCAGTTCATCAAAAAGAACCTCTTACGATTAATCAGATCAAACATGCTGTCTCAAGTTTAGGTGTTTCTCATGACAACCGTTTGTTTTTAGTTCTGCTAAGTGTGGGTTTTGGAGGTTTACACCGTTTGGGTGAACTTACTATTCCAGATTTGAAAAGGTTATTCAATGAGAAGAAAATTATTCGCCGCTGTTCTTTAAAATTCTCTGTTTGTGGAAAGTTCCTTAAATACATTCTTCCTTATTCGAAATGTGATTCTGGGTTCACGGGGGTTTCAGTGATCATTCAATTTTTTGAGAATTCATCTGCCTGTCCGATTATTCGAATGAAATCATATTTACAATCTAGAGACCTATTATTTTTATCAAAGTCAGAATTATTTTTAACTTTGAATGGTTCCATTCCGTCAAGATCTTGGTTTTTATCACGTTTTCATTCTCTGTTCGACAAGTCTTTTTCGGGGCATTCTCTTAGGTCTGGTGAAGCAACTGTTTCAGCACAATCAGGTGCTTCTATGGAGTTTATTCAATCAGCAGGAAGATGGTCTTCAGAGGCCTTTCGTATTTACGTTCGTGGGCACGTTGCGTTAAGATTGCCAGATTCACAAAATCACGTGATTGGTCAACCCGCACATGTCGGTGCTTCTGTTATTTTCATTTGATGTGAGTTACTACTTAATCTTTTCAAGTGTTTAGTGTGGTTCATCTGCTATGTCTCTTAGGTTTCTTCTTAAGGAAGTTTTCTTTGGCATTTTAATGATGAAGAGATTTTTTAATCTTAGTTATGTCTGAATAGAAATTTTTGTTCATTTTCTTTTAACAAGAAGAGCATATTTCTACGTTACACTTTTTTGAAATTTTTCGTTATTGAGCTCTTTTGGATTCTTGAACTGACATTGATTCTGGCTTTTTTGTTTTAAATTTTTTCTACTCCTCCCTTCTTCACCACTCTTTGACTATGCTTTTATAATAGGCGGGTCGGAGAGGGTGTTGTTTGGTTTTAGGACATGATAATTTATACAAAGTTTATGCCTAGCGTCTTTTAGCGTGTCAGTTTCATCTATCCGTAAGTCTTGACGATATTTCCATCAAAACAGATCAACTTGGGCTTTCAAACGACATATAATCTTAGGACCATGAGATAGAGGTTCCTTCACATGTTGAAAACAAAGAGACCCTATTGTTTCCCTGAATCTGTATGTCTATCCATGCAAGTCTAATGAGATATCTTATCCTCAATTAGTTTGTCGAACGAGAGTGCAGTGTATCAATGCTAGTCATATATTTTGCTCAAGATCCCCAATTTCTGTCGTTATATATGTCCTATGTAGTATACAAGAAAATGGCAAGGAGGGAGGTATTGTAAGCATCAGGTTGTGCAAGATGTTCACTTCTTTCGTTCTCCTCGAGATATATGGTACAACCTCTTGTATCGTTCCTTATCATGTTTTTTGTTATGACGCCATGACAGGATAAGAAAAAGTGAAGTAACAGAACCTTATATGCCTACAGATCGCAAGGAACAAAACATGATCTTGGATGTCTCATGGGAGCTTCAGGTATTGGAGAGCACCATGAACACAATCTTAGCAAAGAAACATTGAAATCGAGTTGATTCTTTCAACTCATCGACACACAACTTGTTTTCCATGCGCTGGTTTTCCGAATTGACGTCTTTCGTCTGTTAGCTCAACATCCTGGAACAATCATATCTGTGATATTCACCATCAGACTTCAGGACATGCTACAAGGGAATTCTAGTATTCATCATGGATTCTGGTCGCGGAGGAGTTCACATTGACTTGGGGTCGAAAAATAAGTTCAAATTATTGGCAAAGATTGAAGGATAAAAATTTACGTTGTTGGGTCCTCATATTAATGTTATGATACATAAAAGTGAATAAGAGAGATAAAGAAAGAGAAACGTCCGAAATTGAATCATAACAGAAAAGATTGGTATGAATCAGAAAGATATTAAACAGACACAAGAATCATCACCCAGGAATTGAATAGATTCAGGAGTAATTAAGGAAGATAGCAGGAAATAAGTTTGTAATAATTGTAATGTTTTTGCACTTATCTCTTGCGAGACGTCTTCGATTGCTTTGTACAGTATGAGTACATCATCGACCAGAAGTGACACATAGGGTGTTCTTTTTGAATCAAACAACGGGTGAGTGAATCGGAGTAGGAATCATATGGACACCTAGACCAACCGGCTGGGTGTTGGGAATATCCAACCTGAAAAAGAGGAGAAACTTATCATGAACACTCGAGTATCAATACGTTCAATGTTGGAGTGGAACAACTTACTCCCATAACCTCCGAAGTCCGTTGCAAACCAGTTTGAAAGTGGCTGCATTTCCCTTTTCGAGTGAAAGTGTCATAGCTGTAGCATAGCCATTTCTGAGCTGGGCTTCAACCTTTGGTGAGACAATGCCAGTGGGAGTCCCACTTCCACTTGGACTTTGGGAAACAAATTCGACTTTAAATTTCACCGAAGAGCGAGCAGTCCCTCCCGATCCTGAAAAACAAAGACATTATTTGAGGCATAAATCGATCGAGTCTTGAAGTTTGAGATGTCTTCAAAGTCTACTCACGATCTTCATATCGACATCGCAGCACCGCAGCACCGTCAGAATTCTCAACAGCAATCACACAGCTGAGCTGTTCTAAGACCCTTCTCGCTTCAACACGCGTAGCCGTGCAATTATCAACTGACATCAATTGATAAGTCTGACATCGGATATAATAAAAGCAACAGATGTCTTGAGCTATGATCTTCATCTGGAGACGATGAAATTGAGACTTACCACAGCTTTCCAAGAAAACAGATTAGCAAACCATGATACCCTGGGGCTGGATGGATTCCCCTCATCGGTGAAGACCGATGAGGCAGGGGAAAGCGGTGAGGGGGGGCCAGGTGACAGAGAATCTATAACCAAATTAGTATTGTCAATATTGTTGCGTCATACACCCAGTACTCATTGCGAAAATATGAGAGGTTTAGATCAGATGGAAAGTCATGTACCCTTGCCTCTTCGAAAGGACTTCCTGCTCTTTCTCGAATTCGGATTGGTTGTTTCAAACGCGCCAGGCATGTCCACAGGAGGCGACTGGATCGCTAGACCGGGCATTTCTCTACCTTTTCCTTTATTCCCCCAAGAGCCTGTTGAACCATCGCCAGGCATGGATGTACGCAAGTTTTCCTTATCATTTGTACCAACAATCCGACTACCAGAGCCTTGTGAGGAGACTCTCCGTGTAGAGGAATGATCGCTATAACCCATCTCTTGAGAGCTCTTGTGAGAAAGCAATTGGGCCTTGACTTGCTGCTTAGCTAATGATCTAGTTTGAGCCCGAGAGTTTGAATTCCTGGAGGGTCTGAGAATCGAAAGTGGTTTAGGTTTGGATTTTTTACCAGAGACCGTCGGCACAATCGATGGGTCCGCAACAAGTACAAACTCAGAGGAAGCGGTTCCATCTGAATTACGCTGAGACTCTGCGCTGTATGAACCAGAGAGATTGCTTCTAGCTTGATCGTGACCCTCTTCGTCTTCGTCTTCGTCTTCATAGGCGTCTTCGAATTGATTGTCACCCTGTTCAGAATTTGGACTCTCTGCGTAGGGAGAGTTCGGTGCAGAACCACCCAAGGCTCCCTCATGTAAGTTAGGTGAGCGCATGGACATCGTCTGGAGTTGATCAACAATATCATGGAAGAATCTTTGCATTGCCGCATCGCCCGTTTGAGGTATCTTGATTGACGGGGTTGGTGATCTGGGTGACTTTGGGGATGGTGATGGAGGGGTGGTGGCTTCAACAGCTTCTGTTCTTTTGATAATTGATGCACGCGCCCTCGGCGCTGGAGATGGAGTGGCTTCTTGAAGGAGAATTTGGGGTACTGCTCCTACCCTAGGATGAGCGGTTCCTCGAGCAGGAGTTGTAGTGTTGGCAAGATACACAGCGTCTACGTCAGCGCCACTCTGAAGAGGCTTTTGAGGAGGTTGAGGAAGAGGCCTAGATGATTTTGAAGCCAATGGATAGCTGGCAGTATCGCTGGCTTGATTGGGTTTGCGAGGAGTTTCCGATCCGCTAGGGGAAACATCAGCCTCTTCTTCAATGATTCGGGGTGTCATTTTGGGTGCCGCTGGGGCGGGACGAGTAACCACGTGTCTAGGGCTTCCAGAGACACTCTCCTTCGGACTTGGAGCCGTATTCCCCTGATGTGCGGCTCGCCGAGTGAGACTCACAATTGACTGGCGAGATCTACTCCTGACAGCGCCGGTCTTCACGACGTGCTCACGGGGCGGACGTTTAGTCTTCGGCTTGGGAGGTTTCTCCTTGACGGCAGTTGGTTCGGGGGAATCTTCATCATTGAAGTTTTCAAGATGCCGTTGTCGATATTTCGCCAGGAGGAAATAAAATACTTTCTCCCAGCATTTCCTGTGATGATTAAGAGTGTCAGTACGCGAATCTGAGAAAGGAGATAGTAGAGGGATATCGATAAAGTCACTCAACTCGTCTGAGATCAAAGCTTTGACGATTGATTCTTCGCTAGCCCCAAACCACAAAGTCTGTAAATTGGAGACGATATCATAGTCCAGCTCGCTGGCTGTACCAACTGCTTTGGTGATCTGATCAGGAGTCGGAGGGGCGATATAATCAGGCTGAGGTCGAGGAGCGAGCCGAGTGAACCATGGATGAGATTTAATCTCGTCCATCTGGTTCCAAACAAGTATGGAAGGGGTACAATCAGACACACTTTTTCGAAGGTAGGTTTTCCACACGGGAAAATTTTTGTGAACTTACAGTCATTCTTCTCTCGGGGTTCACCGTCAGCATACCTCGGATCAAGGATTGGGCGTCACGGCTGAGTTCAGGGGGCATGTAAAATTTCCCAACGCGCACTTTGTTAAGCAACAAGCCGACGTTTTCGTCGTCAAAAGGCAATCGGCCTATAAGCAGCGCGAATAAGATCACACCACAAGACCAGATGTCAGATGATGAACCGTGATATGTCAAGCCCGACACGATCTCAGGAGACGCGTAGTGTGGAGAACCGCATGAAGTTTCGAGTAGTTTATCTGAAGCTTCGAGCGCGGCCATCCCAAAGTCTGCGATCTTGATGTTACGCTGATTATCTAGAAGCTGAAAAGAATTGCCTCCCAGAGTTCTATCATCAGAGTTGTGTAATTTTTTGACGCGCGAATAACAAAAGATGATTGCTCACCAGATTCTCGGGCTTCAGGTCTCGATGACATATGTTGAATCGGTGACAATAGTCAACACCACAAATGATTTGCTGAAAGTAATGAAGAGCTTCGTCTTCATGAAGCTTGCCCCGATTGACCAAGTAGTCGAAGAGCTCACCGCCCTCGACAAATTCCATGATAAGATATCTGAATTAAAAAGAGGCAAGATACGTGTGACTTGAGATGTCTGAAACCGAACGCTTGGTCATGAAAAATCTGATGAAACGCTTCAACAATAAGACTACTGACAGTTCACTTCCAGTCTCCCAAACATCATAGAGACGCATAACGTTAGGATGCTCAATCAGTTTCATGATCACAATTTCTCGCTCAATTCCGAGGAGCATCTTGTCAGCTTTCGCTCCTGCTTCGTTGACACTCATCCGGCTACTGAGTAACATATGCTTCGGAACAATCTTAACCGCCGCATACTGCCCAGTAACGCGATGCTTGGCAATCTTCACCCTTCCAGACGAGCCTTTTCCAATGATTCTTCCAATCTTCCAAGGTCCTATCTTCTTTGGATCTTCAATTTCATCGCGAGCGCCCGAGTTTCGGCCTTTGGGAGGGCGGGTGCGGGGTTCTTGATCAGATGGTCTGGCAGGCTCAGTCTTACGTTGCCTGGGAGGAGATACTGGCTCGCTAGCTGTCATGACGGGTTGGACTAGACTGATAACAAGAAGGAAAGCTTGATGTTTGAGATGTGCAGCTGAATTAAATGCCTTGCGACTCGAGGATTTCTTTAGCTAGAGGGCGTCTTTATTGCGCTCGATGAGGTTGACTGCGATGGAGTGATGATTTAGTCTGTATATCGGGATGTGGGGGAGTACCGGATGCGAATTAAAAGTTGCTCAAGTTGATCGCGCGCAAGAATAGTGATATGCAATGGTGAGATATACGAGGAAAGATGTACCAGTGGATCGATAGAAAGATGCTCAGTTCAAATGGGCTTCTTTACAGATCTCAAGAAGACTCAAGAGAGTAGAAGGTGAAGAATGCTGACACCGCGTAAGGAGAACAGGCAAGGGGAGACAAAAACCTTCAGGAATGCTGCATTTCGGTCAGTATCGAAACACAAACAGGGAGAAGGGCATGGCGTGTCTTGAGTGATCGAAGAGAGAGTCCAATTGATGAAAAGCGAGGTATGTGCGCCCCCTGGTTTTATTGAACACTGAGTAACACGTTTGTGATGCACATTCACTCGTCTTGGCAAGTGAATCTCTTCGCCCCATATGAAAGTGATCAAGCTCATCGGTAGAGAATTGCCCCTGTCCTGAAACTAATAGTGTGCTTGGGTCCCATCAGGCTCTCTGTAGTAAAGGTTCGGAAGGGAAGAAGCTTTCAAACGACAACGCGCGATCGTTCTACATAGCAGGCAAGGCAGCTAGAGAACGCTATAGCAGCATCCAACCAGACTAACTGGATGGCATGATCGCCCTATGGTGGTATGCTACATCCACTCTGAAATCATATTTTCGACTGGCACTTGAGCTCAATGGGATCTGGCGCTGAATCTCTGTAAAAATAATAACAAGTATGCCATGGTCAATATCCAAAGTCGTGGTCAATCTTCCACTTGCACGAACTGTGTTTGCCACAAACGTGGAAGCGAATCATCATTCCTCGCGATTCACATTTCACATATCTCTTTCTGAGCTTTGTCAAGAAAGGAATGAAGTTTTTGAAATTTGAAATTTGGTCGCAGGTAACGACTGTATTGACAAAACAAAATTTAAGATAACACATTCCGTTTGCTCTTGGAAAAGGACTGCTTTTTGATCAATGACATTCAATCAATGACAAAAGTTGTTCATTTGCCTGTTCTGGAGATTTTGCTCTCCTCAGAATTGATGTATCATATAAACTACATAAGCTATAGGACTGTAGAGGATTAGGTCAATTCAAGTTCCTGCTCGATCACCAAAATCATGCGATAATTCACAAGTCCCTCTCCAGGGCACCGAGCTCGCGAAGGTAAGAAAGCCTCTGCGAGTTTGGGACTTGTGTTAAGTTAGCTATAGCAGCATCCAACCAGACTAACTGGATGGCATGATCGCCCTATGGTGGTATGCTACATCCACTCTGAAATCATATTTTCGACTGGCACTTGAGCTCAATGGGATCTGGCGCTGAATCTCTGTAAAAATAATAACAAGTATGCCATGGTCAATATCCAAAGTCGTGGTCAATCTTCCACTTGCACGAACTGTGTTTGCCACAAACGTGGAAGCGAATCATCATTCCTCGCGGGAATGTGAAGAAGATCACGGCTGTTCAACTTCCATCATGTCAAAACATAACCCGAAGCTCTTCTCCCAAAGAACTGGGTTGCCTGTTGCACTCCCCGTGCGTGATCACATCACAGGCTGAGCTCTAAGCTGTGAGAAAGCCGCTTTTAACTTAACGTAAGTCCCCTAGCTTAAGTCCCTCTCAACGGCGTCCCTCGAGAGTCGTCGGGTCCAAGCTCCGTGTAAAATAGTACCCGACGGACTGATCCGAGGCTTTTTTTGTCTTTGCCTTTCCTCTTCAGTTGACTTCGACAATGACAACTTCCATTCATCTCCATCTTCATATGTTGGTACAGACGCCGAGACCTCAGCGTTGGTCATCTTTATAATAAAGTTCATATGACTTTGAAGAACTATTTTCAAGCTTCATAGCTGCCGCAAGGGGCTTTGATAAGCCTACATGGCCACCCAATTCCAGGAGGTGAAGCGGCCTTGAGCCACAACTCAACACTCGAGTAAGCTGCCCTCATCGTCGGTGACTCTGAAAGACTTGAAAATTTGGCTCAGACACTGGTATTTATTGGGTTATTGCTAAGAATGTCAGTTGGATTCCAAAAGCGGACTAGCGAAGTAATGTAAAAGTTGTAAAGGTACATGTAAGAATTAAAAAAACAGCGTAGAGACTACATCGCATAAAGAAAGACTCAATCTTAAGGGGCGTATTACTTGGTAAGACAGCATAACAAATGTGATTCAAGATACCATCTCACTAGGCTCAACCCGAGTAGGAAAATCAATGGTGAAGACCAGTCCAGATGAATCACAAACGAAAACGAAAGATAAGATTGCCAGAAAATGCAGGACTGGTCATCTTAATTACCATGCGTGATGTGTACGGCATGTTTTGAACTCAAGGCTTTCCCCTTACTCTTACCCTTCTTGGAGGTTTTGGTGAGCTTGTGCTTATTTTGATTATTGTTCCCTTTGTTCCCGTTGTTCCCGTTGTTCCCTTTGTTCCCTTTGTTTTTGCGATTATTCGATTATTTTGGTTTTTGTTATTATCTGGAATAAGAAGTTGTGATACCAGAAGGAATGTGTTAATGAACAGCTGGTAAAACGCTGTACAATCATTAGCTCACTGTTATCAATGATGATGATCACCTGAGTCCTCCGAGCATCGATGATCACTATAGATTTTTAGATCAAAAGTCAGTGTGGTCCGCCTCATCAGGAGATAGGAAATTTTGACAGCTCAAAGAACTGACCGATGTTCGCTCCCGATTGAAGCTGGTTGGTGGCATTGAGTTGAGTTACAATGTTGGTAAGGCCGGCACTAGCATCTGCGGCATGGTAAGTTACTGTTTGATTTGCGTCTGCTGCGGTGACAGCGGTGACGTTGGCTGCTGTCGCATTGCCCCCTGTCGCATCGGTGATGGTGGCATTAAGTCCAGAGGCTACCGAGGTCGCGTTGTCACCAGTCGCAGTCCCGTTGAGGGCGGTTGCATCAGTTCCGTTGGCAGTAGCAGCATCAGTGCCATTGATAGCGGCTGCGACGGTCTCGTTGGAGGCAGCTGCACCAGTGGCAGTCCCGTCGGCGGCAGTTGCACCAGTGACAGTCCCGTCGACGGCAATTGCACCAGTAGCAGTCCCGTTGCCGGCGATTGTGGAAGGAGGTACGTAGACAGCTGGTTCGATAGGAGAAGACAAAAGTTCCACTATGAGCTAGGAGATTTATGAGAGATCAAAAAGAGAAGTACAAACAACTTCTTGCACCATGTGGGTGATCATGGTAGTCGACTGAATCTCGGGGATGTTTCGCTGAATAACATCAATCAGACGGAGCAAATATCCAAAAGAAAGGGAAAGAGCGCTGTTGAGTAGGGTTTCAAAAGGCATTGAGTCTGAGTGATCAATCGTTTGATACAACGTACCTGTCATCCCAGCAAGTGAAGCAATAGACGGGACCAAAGAGAAAAGGCATGCAATAAAAGAAAGAACAATCGACAAAGTGCTGAATCGAGTCATCATGAGAAAGCGGTAGTAGGTTTTTGAAAATAGACTTGAATGAAAGGGTACGTAGTAGTGCAGTGAGTCAAAGCGAGTGGACTGGAATGCGATCTTTATTCTATGAAACTTTTTAGGGAACGTAGATGATAGAACTACGATAGAGGAATAGAACACAGCTTCTTAAGTGAAAAGCTCGAATTGTCTTCAACATAACAGCCTCACTGACTCTTCGTGCAGTCTCAGACTCGAACAAGTGTTTGGGAAAGCGCTTAATAGCTCATAATGGAACGGTCAAGATAATTGACCATAATTGACAATCAGTAACGGGAATCTCCTGACTTCAACCATCCATTCACTTCAGAGTCTGGGAATGAAGTGAGGATTGGCAAGAGGTGTCATACTTGATTTTGTTTTGCTCTTGACGAGCTTTGATAAACAATTCATCACTCAAAATATGAAACGTCCACACGACAGTTACCAGAAGTAAAACTGTTGGATGATCTTGAACAACGTCGTCTTTGCTTTGTCCGACTAATTCAATACGAAAAGCTGACATCGATCAAGGGGAAATGATTGCTAATCAGACTCACATTGGAGACCGACTTGAACTTGACAATCTCTCTCCCCACGAACCTTCAAGCGCGATGACTAACTAGTCCGGCCATGATGACTCAAAGAAAGTGTTTTGATGGGCGATACCAGATGGCTTGTCTCCTTATTTCAGTCATGTGTCTCGTTATTCCAGTTATGGGCGAGAGCTGGTGGTATACATAGTGTGACCAAAGTACGGAGAAAGAGGTTCGGCTGTAATAGACAAACTTTGATTTCTCATGGCCGGCCTGCAGGCTTAGATGGACCTGCCGAATGATACCTCTTAAAACATTCGATGCATAGCAGTCCAAATTTGAAAGGGAATCTTCAGTTTCTGGTTTTGAGCACGGCAAATTGCACTAGAGTCTGAGATGAGCGACTGGGTATATCAGCTACACATCCCCTTATTTGAGGAAGATGAGCTACAGAAATAGCTCAAATTACCGACGAGGCAATATCTAAGATATGTCGGACTCGAAGCCCAGCCTTTCGGTTTCCTGCAGACGTTATAGGGTATAGGAGAGAAAAGGGAAGTTTACTCTGCTGTTCAGACTCAGTTTCCGAGTGCCAAATTTGGGTTTTGCCATTCAGCTTGGCAATATGCTTAAGAAGTAATGATGCCATTCACGAGCGAATTAGTATATATATATGCTGAAGCAGGCTGAAGTTGCTTAGTGAATTTCAACATTGGTCACACACTTGTGTGTTCAGGTCGGCGCAGGTTGTCACTTTTGATTGCTGAGCTCTCCTCAAAATTCCTGAAGCTCATTCATGATTGAGATAAAGGGTTTGTTGAGCGAGAATAGAAAGAAGTAGCATACAAGCTCTTTATATCTAGAAGACAGAAATGGACGAAAGAATCACCCATATCATTAACTTCACTTCAACTCTACAATCCGCCAATTTATCACAAATCGGACAAACATTATAATGCTTGATAGACTGCCAACAGAACTTCAAGAAATCATCATTTACCATCTAATAGATTTAACTTATCGAGGAACTCGACTTGATCCATTGAAAAGAAGGAGTGATACAGGTAAGCGCTCAGATTTAAGCATATTTCTTGTTCTGTTCATCAATCAAGACAAACAGCTGCTGACTAGATGTTGAAGCTCTTACATTGATCAAGTTATCTCAAGTGAATTCAAAGCTACATCAGATCTGTAGGCCTATCCTCTGGAAGGTATGTATCACATCTTTTCATCTCAAAAATGCCATATGCTATTCTCAATAGAAAATTGAATGCTAACCTGAACCCTTCAATCTGATTTAAAAACAAACTCTGCCCATAGAATATCACATATATTCGAAAAAAACCATCACAACCTGGTCATAAATTAAAAGAATATTGTGATCAACTTTCATCTCATCCACATTTCAATACCGAAGCTCAAAACGTTCGTTATTTAAAAATCAAAACATTCTTTGTTGTAGAAGAAGTTTTATTAGGACTCTCTTATGATCTTGCACCAAGTCTCAAACATCTCTTTTACAAATCTCAACATCTTAACATTCAACATATAAGCTTATGTATTGGGGTCTTTTTGACTGGTTCTATGGAAGAAGAACTTTTGGATTCAAAGGATCAATTCTTTAAACATTTTCGATATTTCTATAGGAGTATCATTAATTCTTTGAAGAATTTCTCTCATTTGACTTCTTTGGAAGTCTCTGGAACTTGCTTTTGTTTTTTATCTGAGAATGAAATCGGTCAATGCGTTCTTCATCTTCCTAATCTCACTCGATTCCGAGCACATGGCTATTTCATGCATGGTTCGAACGAGGATCAAATCCAAGGCTTAAGGCTTGGTCAGTGCCTGGCCTCGCTTACTCTATTAGAACAACTCTCCCTAGAAAATATGTCAGATCCGGATTCTAGTTGGTGTGAATTGGATTGGAAGGGTCCTCTGGAAACTTTACATTTAAAACATTGTTCGAGTTTTGATGATCATACACTGTGTAAATTGATCTTCAAGCTACCTACTCTGAAGAAAGTTCGAATCGTCAATTCATCCTCACTTCCTGCCGAAAAAAAGAACGATGGAAACCCAATGATTTTACAACACTTGGAAAGCTTCACATCCTTTGGAAGTCTGGATCCTGAACTCATCAATGTCTTGTCAAGTGCTCCCAATCTTCAAAAGATTCACTTACACACTGGTCTTGCGCGTTTCAAAGTTCCTCAGAAAATCAAGACTTCTATACAAGCACATCACACCGTTTGGCCCAGATTGAAATCAATGGTCTTATCATATATCCATCCAAGGAATCCAGATAGAATCTTTCTTGAGAATTGGGCACGTAAATGGAATATCAGGATCAAGTTTCACCGGAATGTCATGTCATATAGCACAGCCTGGGCAATGGGCGGTTTAGTTGATGATCAAGAATTATACCATCAGCTTGATAATGCAACTGAGATTAAGCAAAGCTTACTGATTCTTAAAGAAAATTCCGAACTCGAGGAGGTCCAGATTCTTTCCAACTCTATCCAACCAGAAGGTGCTCCTTCCGATCTCGATGATGTGTCTCCAGAATTTGATCAGACAGAACAAGAATCATGGGATGGTGGATCAGATAGTGAATTAAGCTCAGTAGGGGGTTGGACTGAATCACAAGTAGATGGATTTTTTCCTGTACTTTAAAACAACCTTGCTTCAACACCTCAATTCATTGCATAGACTTGTATAATATAATCCTTTAATGTCATTCCGGGAGCTTTGTAACCTTGACAAAATTTTCTCTTTAACACCTTTGGTATTCCTATTGTGATTTCTCTGCGAGGGCATATGCATACACTTGAGAATTCATACAGCTGAGATTGAAAATTCTACAAAAATGGTTTCCAATAAGAGCAAAAGAAAAAAGAAAAAAGAATCCAATACTGTGTCACTTTATACCATGATGAAAACTAAATGTCTGATTTATATAAACCCTTTGGTTTTCCATAACAAATAATTCATCCTAAAGCAATTCAAACACTCTACTGTGACTGGTCACTGAGTCTCACTGAGTACCAAAGTACCAAATCTTTTCCCACTCTTTACCCATTCTTGATCACAAAAAATAAATCAACAAGAAATCAGAAATATAATTTCAACACCAGTACTTTCAAGTGATCATGTCTGAACATTTCCTGAAGCAATAAGATAACAAGCACTTAGAGAATCCCAACTCATAATCAACACATTCTCATCTAAGAAACAATGGATCACTAAAGAACCTCTAGTCTACTCAAACACAGCACTTGCAAACACAGTACTTGAAATACTTATGTACCACAAAAAAAAGTACATGACAAATGTTATAAAAGACAGATTTCAGACCCAATGAAAAAGAAAATCATGAGAAATATAAAAGTTTCTTGATCAATGATCCATACTAATTTCCAATCCATCTTCAAAATCAAGATCCTAGCTCAACTTCTTACTTACTAATTTCTCAATAAACACATCTCTTTCATCATCATCATTAACAAAATCATCTCTTTTAACCCATTCATCAAACTTAACTCATCAATCTTTCTCAACCACACTCTCTTAAACCGAAATCCACCTACACAGAATCCCAAATGCCAAATGCCAAATCCCACAAACTGGAAAAAAAAAACTCCAAGAAATCCATCACTTCATCCACTTCATACATGAAAAAATTGATTTTGATAAAAAAATGATTTTTGTTACAAAGATTGATTTTGTAAAAGAATTGATTTTTTTCTATTTATCTTTTTAAATCTAAGAATTAAAACCTCACACAAGAAAAAAGCAAAACCTAATAAAACCAAACCAAACCAAAATCAAAAGAAACACAAAAAAAGAAAACCAAAAAAAGAAAACCAAATCAAATCAAACAAAAACCAAAAAAAAGAAACACAAAGAAAGAAACACAAAGAAAGAAACACCAAAAAAAGAAAAACCAAAACAAAGAAAAACAAAGAAGCAAAAAAAAGAAGCAAAATAAAAAAATAGAGAAACGAATACAACAAGAACCAAAAAAAAGATAGATAGAGAGAAACACAAACACACACACACACACATTAAAAAGTTTCATCATCATTTTTTACCTACATACATTACATAACTTGAATTTCTTTTTTTCTTTCTTTCTTTCTTCTTAGGATCTAAAGTTTTCCAAAGTTTACTAACCTTTTTTGGAAATCTTAAAATCTTAATATCTTAAAATCTTAAAATCCTAAAATCCTAAACTTCAAAATCTTCAAAATCTTCAAAATCTTCAAAATCTTCTGAAAGCTTCTAAAATCAAATATCTAAAACCTCTAAAACCTCTAAAACTTCAAAACCTCTAAAATCCCTCAACCAAAAAAATCCACCCCCCAAAAACCGCAAACAACCAATCCAAACAACCAATCCAAACAACCAATCCAACAAAAAAAATCCAAAAAGCAATTCAAAAGACCACCAAAAAGTCACCAGTCAAACACCCAAGCAAACCTCCCAAAAAGGATTTCCAAAAAAAAAATGCAATTAATGATAATGATGATGATACTGATGAACCGGTTGTTGAAGTTGTTGTTGCAACTGTTGTTGTTGAGGATAATAATTAGTCGTAGAAGCGGGAGTAGTTGAAGAAACCGATCTCCAATACGATTGACAAACTCTTAAATCCAAGATCCTACCTTCAGCAGCAAAAACGATTTGATGTTTATCTGAAAACAAATGTCTTTAAAAACAAACCCCAAACCCCCCAAAAAACCAATCAGTTTGTTTTATTTTTCAAAGAAAGATAAATTATCAGAGAAAGGATCAAACCACAAACCTAATATTAGGTCCAGGAATAATCTGTAACAAAGCTCCAGTTTCCAAATGTCTAACCTCAACAAAACTAGGTTCGAATGCCAAAACAAATGGATACTGAATAGCTAATCATTTCCCCCCCCCCCCAAAAAAAACAATCATCAATTCTCTCTCTCTTTCTCTTTTTCTTTCTGATCTGTTTGATTTTCATTTTCAAAAAATTCTGCTTACCAAATGCAACCGGATGTCCTTCCCAATAAACAATCCAATTATTCCTTGCTCTCCATCCGTTTTTATTTACCTTTTTTCAAAACCAAAAAAACCAAAAAAAAAACCAAAAAAAAAACCAAAAAAAAAACCAAAAAAAATCAATACAATTCAACTTTTTTTCAATCAATCAAAATCTTTCTCATCAATTCAATTTCAAAACCACTCACATAAAACCCAAAGTCTTCATAACACAACAAGAATTCCCCTCCACCTCCCTCAACCCTAAAGATCCCCAAAGGCTTCACACTCCCACCCCCTCCACCCATCCCTACCCCATTACTCCCTCCTCCTCCACCCCCTCCATTCCCTCCACCACCATTCCCTCCTCCATTATTCCCTCCAGAAACATTGTTTCCAAGACTTCCAGTCTTACTCAACACAAACTCTAAAGAAGGATCAGCCGGATCAAGTAAAGCTTGTGTATCTAAACTTTCTAAATCAACAATCTCAAATCCTTTATTACAACCTACACATAACTTTGATTTTAAAAAATGCACTGAACTTGATTCAGTTGGAATATAAAATTCCTAGAAAAAAAAATCAAATCAAATCCTTCTTGTCAATATATACGAAAAAAAACATACGAAAGAATTGGATGAATGAAAAAAAGAAAAGTGTACATACCTTATAAACCTTTAAAGCATCATTACTATTCCCACCCACAATCTTCCTTAACCCACTCTTTCCCTGTCCCTTAGCATACCCCAACCCCAACCCAATAGATCCCATTCCCATTCCATTCCCCATCCCATTGCCCATCCCATTCCCTTGTCCAATCCCAACAGGTGCTCCGAAACCTCTCAAGACTTCCAAAGTTTTAATCGTACTAGAAACCGTTCCAGACTTAACCACACAAACCAATTTCTTACCCAAACATTCACCAGTTCTAAAAAACGTAGCATTCGATGAAATCTTTCGAGTTCGTTTTCCAATTCCTGTTGAATCATTCGGATCTAATGTATCTAACCAAAAACTCATCATAGCTTTATCTGCCAAAATAATCAAAATCCTTTCTGGTTCAATCACTTCTACTTGTGTTACATTCATGATTTGGATCACTCGGATCGGTTTGAGGATCCCTTCTTCTTCTAATGATGTTGAGGAGGATGGTGGAAGATTAGATCGGTTCGGCATTGATGATAAGTAGACTCCATTCTCGGTTCCAAACACATATCGATTTCCATTATCTAAAAGAAAAAAAACCTAATCAATCACTTTAAACCAAACACCTCTTCTTTTTTTCAAAAAACCCTTACCAAACGAAGCCGCACAGGTCACTTTATTATTTCCCACAAAGAAACCTTCATTAAGTGCCACCATCTCAAAGACCGTACTCCTATTCCTAAGCTCAATCTGTCTAGCCTCAATCTTCTCTAACCATTTAGATCTAGACTGAAAACTAGGAGCCCAAAGCACAATCGAGTATCCTTTCCTACCCAAATGATTAATCGTAATCGGATATCCAGCTTTATCTTTAACGGTCATCACATGACTTATAGCCGAATGATTGGACGATTTACTTCCTCCTCCTCCTGTCACACTAGCACGATTCATCAAAGATTTTTTCGTTAGACTTGTACTTTGATGATGACCATCAGCTTGATTAGGATTAGGTTGATTGACTAAACCAGTGATCGTTAATAATTCTAATGGGATCGGTTTTCGATACACTTTTAATTGTTCAGTCTTATGTGAATATTTAGGTTTCACCATCAATAAAGCATGATCAAATAAATATACTTGTAATTCTGCACTATCACTTCCTCCTCCTCCTCTTTTCTTTAATTGTCCTTTGAAAATCAATTCTCGTCCTTCTTCTCTTAACCTTAGATCCTATAAGTACCCAACCAATCCATCAACCTTCTTGGCAAAAAAAATTCAACTGATTCTTAAGAAAAAGCAAAACAAAAACTTACAACAGCTTCTCCTTGTCTAAACACCAACTGTTGATCAAGTTGTGCCAAATTAAATCGATTCTCAGATTTCCCAGATTCGATATTCACTTTAGTCAAGAGTTCACGAATCATTTTGATCACTTTAGGTAAATCAATCTTATCTGAATGATCATCCGGTGTATACTTTAAAACCACTTCTAACAATAATGGATATCTTGCTAATCTAGTCGTCGGTTTAGTAAGATATGCATTCAATTCTAATTTTCTAGATTCAGGTAATCTTTCAGTTTCCTAGACAGAGAAAAAAACAACACCAATCAGTATGAATCTCAAACTTTAATTCGATTCATATCAAAACCAACATCAACAAATTTTCCAAAAGCTAAATTCGATATCTTTTCTTTTTCAAATTCATATTTCCCATACAATTGATGAGATCCATATTGAACAAACGGACCAAAGTGTGGCACAAGTTCAAGATAAAGATCTCCAATCGATTTAATCACATGTGATGATTTTTGTCGTTTGCTAAGTAATTCCGATAACCTTGAATTGACAGCCAAGACATCTAATACATTCCAAAAGACTTGGGTTACGAAATCTTGTCTTCTATGTTCTGGTATGATCGAACTAGTTTGTAATGGTTTAATCCAACTCTAAAAGAAAAAGTAAATCAGTACTTGGGATTCTTCTCGGATTTAAAGAAATTCACTCACATCACGAAGATATTCAAGATCTCGAACAAAATCTCGTTCAGTATAAATACATTCATTGATAGCCTCTTGACGTTTCTTCTCTGTATCATCCACCGAATCAATCACTTCTTGCGGCACCGAATGAATCCAAAGTGTTCCAGGTTCTTTAAGATCAATCAATGATTCAGTCGATAAGCTACGTTTCAACAAACCCGGTTTCGGTTTCAAATTCAATCTAGCTTGTTGTTCTAATCTTCTCGGACAAGCAATCGAATAACACAACCTATCTCTCGTACAGGTAGGTGAATAACAATCTGTCAAGAGTGTAAACACTCCAGAAGGTAATCTCATCTCTTCTTCTTCTTCTTCATGATCTTCTTCAATTTCTTGAGTTCCATGTTTTTCTCCCACCAATTTAGATGTTTGTCCATCTAAAACATCTTCTAAACTTGTAAATGGTGATCCTAATCTGGCTCGAAACTGATATAATTCATTAGGACTATCTCTCAATCGATGATCATAAGTAACGTCATGAAAAAACTTTTGTGCATCTAATGCTCTACCTAATAAGAGAGCCAGATTTCGATCGGTGGTTTTGATGATATAAGCAATCTTATCTACGGCTGCTCGACCATCAAAACAAGCTGTATAGGTTAAACCATCCTTGGTACGTTCTGATAAGACTGTTCGAGATTTAAAGGCTTCTGCTACTTTACTCAGTAAAGCAGGGTAAACGATAGGAGATTTGCCACGTGAGATTGACGTAGAAGGTTGATGTGAGGGAATGACAACTGAAGATCTTTGGGTAGGAATCGCTACTGAAGATCTTTGAGATGGTGGTGGTGCAAAGGCTTGTTTTGAAGAGCTTTGATGATCATGAGGTAAGATAGAGGTTGAAGGGGTAGGTCGACTGGTGAGTGAGAATGATCGATCGTAACCTGTTGGACTAGGTTTAGGTTGAGTAGGCATGACTCTGACGGATTCGGATGATTTTCTAGGATGAAGATGAGTAGAGTTCCTTTGAAAGGGATGTGAACCATAAGGATAAGGATGATGAAGTGAAGAAGAAGTAGAGGTTGAAGTTGAACGGTTCAGGTTTGGATCAGGATGATAGAATGGATGATGAGATGGTGAAGAAGCTTGATAGGTTGAATGACGATCTGATTCAGTTGAAGATGAAGAAGCTTGATTTGATCGATCTGAATGTAAACCAAACCAAAAAGAAAAGATGATGAAGATAGAATTGAATGGAAAAAACTTTGAAAGAGATGATCAACTAACCTAAGATTGGACTGTGTTGATGAAATGAATGAAAAGGACCTTCCCTAATGACACCGAGAGGAGTATGAAGAGGAGAATGATTGAGAGGACGTTGATGAGATGATTGAGATTGAGTATGATTTGAAGTTGAGAAATCCAAGTCAAGCATATAAGAAGGTATTTGAGTTTGATGAGTTTGATGATTGAAAGGATATTGCTGATGATGATGATGATGATGATGAGTTGGTGTAGGATAAGTTTGAGGATGAGGATGAGTTTGATAAGATGAATGATGATTTGAAGTGAAAGAAGCAGATCGATCTAAGGAAGTATTTGGTGGTGGTGGTGGTGGTAGTGTTGGTGTTGGATGATAATAAAGTTGATGATTTGATGGAGTTGATGTATTGAATCGATCTGGATTTCTACCGAATATATCAGAGTAAGCAGTCGATCTAACTTTATCAGTTCTATTGTTGCTACTTGAACTTGTATTCTTCCTCATCTTTCAAGTAAAACTTCACTCTGAGTCTCAATGATACCAATCAATCAATCTCATCAAGTTGTTGACTGTGTTGACTAGTTGAGTGTGTTGAAGTTGAAGTTAAAGAAGAAGAACCATCCAATCGACTGACTCACTTCTCATTCCAAATCAAAAATCAAAAATCAAATCATTCAAAACTACATTAAATTAAAACACACTTCTTCTATTTACCTTTTACCAAATTCAATCTTAACTAAAATCACTCAACTTAACTAAATCCAAATTCAAGAACTTCAATAACTCTTGGCCAAAATGTCACCATCCCAAGAAGAAGACCATCAATACCAAAAATCTAAACAAAACCAACTTTTTCCAAGAATACACATCCTCCCTCAAACTAAATAAAGGACTCCAACTCGATCCTTTCTCTTCATTTTTCACCAAAAAAAAAGAATATAGCAGATCAGTCATACAACTTTAACTATCAATAGTTTATCATAGAGATATTACATCAAATCTAGGAACACATCAATGATCACATGTGAAAATCTCATTCATAAATCAACTCTGATATTTAACTTCCAGTGGGGCAGTCATGATCAATATGGAAACTTCAAAGACAACAAAAGACACAGAAACATAAACACTACAAGCTTCAATATGCACATCAACTTGATTGGTGTGTTTGCTACACTCAACTCTAAAATAAACCCACCACTTCTAACACATAAGCCGTGTTCAAACCTGACCCGGTTTCAAAAAACCCAGTTGACCCGGTGGACTTTTTGGCTGGAAGCTGTCAAGAACTGTCAATGGATACACAAAGTTACCACCAGAAAAGCAACTGGGTAACCGGGTTAGGTTTGAATGCGGCTATACTCTAGCAGTAACCTAACCCATGCTTTTTAAATTTTAGTACATCATTTTCACTTTTTATCCCAGATGCTCATTGTGATAACACATACTCTATGAAAAACCCCATATCTTTTGGGTTCTATAAAAAGGTATGGGTTATCTTACAGAAAACTGTACAAAATGTGACAAATGGCAGCTGGAGAGAGTCCTAGCCAGATAATGATTGGAATTGGTATCAGACCAAATTTCACAATATGTAAGTCACAAGCCTCCCAGAGCCTATCCTGTGAATGGGGACATCTCTACAGTTGGTGAGGCTTGTGTTACAGCATCATATCACAAATCACTGGTAAGCCAGGTGATCCATGAACTCTAATACCTTCAAGAATGCTTCAAAATTGATTCCCAAGCTTGACACACACAAAGTAACTCAGAACCAAACATATAGCAAGGTTCAAGTGAAATAAGGTTGATGATGATCTGAATATATCTACAGTGAACTTGTAATATCCAAGAACCAGGAGCAGGTAATCCAAACAAATTTTTCCTCAAACATTTCTTTCTGAAGTATTTCTATGATTCTCACACTACTCAGAACTTCAAAGTAAGTTGAAGTACTAAATCATTAGACTCTTTCAAATCCAAAAAAAATGGGTTTCTGTTTATCCAGTCTGAGCTCTGGATAATAAGTAGTGTTCTGCAAAAGTGAGCAGAAACAACCAAACCAATTCAAGAGAAATCTTGGTATTGTATTGTCAACCCAAATACCAAAACTATTCTTTTCTCATATCACTTCACCCAACCAAGGATTAGATTTTTTTGCCATATTTGGTATTGGCCATACAAGATTGGACAGATCCCAAGATCCCAACAGTACCAGGTCTGGCTAGCTCACTAGGCTTTCTCATGGGAAGGTGACAACTTTGTGTCATATCTGGGCACTCCCCCCCTGGAGCTACAAAATTTCCCAGGATTTTCCATGGGGGGTAAAAAAATTGGATCACATCTCATCAACCCCTGCAAAAAAGCCTTGTGAGCTACACAAATCCCAAGGCTTCTACAAGGGGGTTGTCAGCATTTGGTAGAACACTGGGACCCCACTGATTGGCTCCTGGGTCTAAGTGTATGTTCTTCTTTGAATTAATTTACAAAAGCACAGAGGTCAAAAGAAATTTGAAATCCAATATCTCAGCCATACAGGCACCTACCTTTCTACAGGGATAATTACAGGATTTCTCTTTCCACAATTTTTTTTGCATTATTAAACAGGTACTGCTGAAAACTGAGTGATAAACACAGTTTTTCAAGGGTTTTGAAGACATTCAAGATTTCATCATCATGGTAATATGTACAGCTATGTAATGTGATGTAAGTGGGACCCACACAAAAATTGGACCACAGAGGAATACCGCCAATGGTGCAGTGCAGTATGGTTTGAGCTCTGTAGGCTGTGGTTCAACTGTTCATGGTCCAACTGCACCATAGTGTGATGAAGCAGAAGGAATTTAGGGGAATCCTGTACTTCTCCTGATAATTTCCTATGTATAATGACTGTAGGTCAGAGTGTCTACAGTCACTTCCATGTTTTCTCTTCTATGATTTGCCCACATTCTCAATCCAGGGATATGTTTCCATGATCTCTTTGTTTCTAACCCTTTGATTCATACTTCAGATTGCCCAGTTTGGCTGTGCAACATGTACCTTCAAGCAAGGGATTGGTAAGTACATTTTATCATCCCTTTCTTCTCACTTGTTCCTTCTATCATTTTATTACTCCTCTTCTTTTTCTTTTATACATTTAATACTTCCTTCAATACTTCCTCTTTTTATACCTTTTATACATATATGCACCAAACACACCTGAGATCACAAGAGTCTCAGGCAATGGCCTCATTCCTAGCTCCCACTTCTCAACTCTGCCTCTCTTCCACTTAATTTTCTGAATCCCAACCACCTAGCCCCAGCCCATCTTGATGCTCCACTTGTTGAAGCCCGGTTTGTTGCAATACTAAACTTCATGAACTTCAACACAACACCTAATCAAAGTTTTGTTCTGAACAATTTAGGACAACAACACAAAGATATGCCTTGTCCGTGATGGATGCACAACAAAAGGCAACCATTCAGCTTTCATCAGTGTCACAGCAATAGCGGGGTTCATGTTGAAAATTTGAGCAGGAATTATACAACTTCCAAGTGAATTTCTGAAGCACAAGTTGAGCTAAAGAATTGCAAGGAGTCATAAAAAGTGCTTAAATATAAGCCACTAAGCCTTATAAGAAAGAAAAAAAGCTCTGAGACAAGGTACACAAGCTTAAAACAAGTGCATTATATCTGCTGTTATGAATTCAATGAGGAAGAAAGACAAAAGAGACAACCATCAAGAAACAAAAAAAATCATACACCTTTTAAAAAAAGACACTTTTTTCTCAAGCCAAAAAATAATCAACCTTCTTAAAATTATAGGCATTGTCCTATACTTTTAAACCTTGCAAGTACCTCTAGAGGTGCTTGCAAGCTATAAAACATGGTTTATAAATTGCCACTTCCAAGCAAAGCATAAAACACATTTTGGGTCTGATTTCTTTTGACTTGAACCCTGCTAATATGGATTGATTATAACTGGAAGTTTCAATCCAGCCATCTCACTTTAAAGTTAGTAACATGGCATCACTGTGGTGCATTCCCTGCTATGCCAGCCGGGAAGTTCCTCAACAAACACAGACTTCACAAGAAATTCCATTCAAGTTTTTCTAATCCCAGCACCTGACCTGTGTGGGCTGACTCAGACATCAGGAGCTCCCTGAGGCTCGAATTTCCAGGGCACTCTCCACTGGCACAGTGAATTCTATCTATCAATTTCCTTTATTTCCATCTATTAACAAATTCTTTTTTCTATTTCTGTCTATTACATACCACAACTTTGGTGTATGAGCAGGAAAAGTTTGGCTAGGGACCTTTTCAGCCCTCCATATTTCCTTAGCCTGTATAGAAATAGACTCTGAACCAAAGAAAACTCTTCTGTGTCTGATCATCCTACCCATCACCGTCAACATATTTACCTCAGATTGAAAAATCCAAGGTATAATTGGATTCCAAACCTCAGACAGAAGCTGTCTGAGGTTTTGATCCAAGGCAATTCTCAGCACAGAAGATTACCTTGGACAAGGTCTGTCTGAGGATCTATCTCTGATGATGCCTCAGATTCCACAACCCAAGGCATCTATGTTGGCAGTGCATGTGCACCTGGCAAAGTTTACCATCATTTTGAGCTTTCATTGTAGAGCACAGGAAACAAGAGACGATTTTCCCATGGGAAGAGTGATTACATTTCATGCAGTTCCGGAGCCAAAACACTGAGATAACACAGAAATGATGCCAAAATGATACATCTTGGCTCCTCAACTGTGTTAAATACAATGAGTTTTCCCACAGTAAAATTGCTTCTTGTTTCCTGTTGAGCTATGAGGGCTTGATGTGGTATAAGGTATAAGGTCTCTCTCTCCAACTACATTGCTTGTTCAAGAGAGATTTAGTTAAGTTAGTAAAATTACATTAATCAAAAACCCATTCCAGTTGATCCCAACAAACTTCATCAAATCTCATCATTTTATACAATACTTTCCTTAACTTGAATTGGATATAAACCTCTAAGTGTGATATCATATACAACTACAAAATTCAAATCCAATCAACATCTTATCAACTTTAATTCTCATTTTAACATCAATCAAACCAAAAAATCAAACCTGACCTTCTTCTAATCTTTTTAAATCATACTAAACCAAAAAAAACCAAAACCTCATTAATTCAACCCCCTCATCATTATGACTTCACTCCATCAATCACTCCCCAAAGAAATCACAGAATCACATACCTTTATCGAATCAAATCGTTTTCTCAACGAATCATTCTTCAAATTCAAAACCGAAAACCCATTACTCAATTCTTTAACAAACTCACAAATCCCAATCGGAACTTGAAAGAAACCTAAACTGATAACATTAATTGATAACCTAGTCAATTCATTAATCAAACTAATCAATCCATGTAAATATTCTTCACTAGTGATCGTTAATGGACTTTCAACTAAATCCAAACCCATCCCAAACTTCATCAACTACATTCAATCCAAGTTTGATGAAAATGCGAAAAAGAAATGCTTACGTTGTAATTGATGAATGATATCTTCTTTGGTTAATAAACTTTCGGCTGGGATACGTGTTTGGTTGGGTTGATTGAAAGTTCCTTGGATGGTTAAGTTTTGGTTTAACCATTCTTTATAAATCATTAGTAAAGTGATATGTTGAATGACTTTACTAAAGATCTCATTATATCTCCCTACCAACAGAAATTCAAAACATGAATTATCAAGATCCGAAAAAAGTTGAATGGTTTGGGGGGGGGAAACGCTTACAGTATTCTCCGGCTGGAATCAGTTTGGATAAAGTTTTTAATTTTTCAATTAGGTTTGGTAAACAATCATTAACTTCTTGTAGAATTTCAGTATCTGACACCCAAAAAATGTAAGATCATTAAGAATTCGATTTTTTTGAGGAGGTTTAAAATATAAATAATGGAAAGTATAGAAATCATTTAAGATGAAAATACTTAACTCTCTTCTAATGTAGAACCATGAACTTGATACAAGATCCCACTAATCTTTTTATTTTCTCGTTCGATCGATCGAACCGATTCTTTAATCTTTTCTTTAATCTCATTTTCCTTTTCCATGATATCCTAAACAAAAAAAAACAAAGAACCAAAAAATCAATTGAAAGTTTTGGTTTTTTAATGATGAGTGGATTAGGAAAAAAACTTAACTTGTAATTCACTTAGATCGATTAAAGGTTTGGTGGATTTCATTTTAATCAGTTTGGGTTGTTTAGTAGGTTGATCGGTTTCGATTTCGATTTCTTCTCTTTTCATTTTTATTTCTGAAATATTTCTTTTTTTGTAAATTCGGCTTTCTTGTTGTTTTTTCGAAATCCGAATATCAAACATCGATCGGATAATTAATGGATTAAGAAACTTGGTGGTGCATATATGTAGCTTGTCTGTATACCACCATTCAAAACTTGATTCGCGGGTGTTTGAATTGATTCTAAACTCCGAAATTGTAAAATCGGTAATTCAATTCAATTCATTCCAAAATTAAACATCAATTTATCAAACCAAAAAAACCATTTGTAGATCTTTGGCCCCTTCAGACCCGCTTATTCTTCATTCCCTCAATATCCAACCACAAAAGTATCAAAACAAGTCAAGTGACGATGTAGGATCAAGAAGTCCAGAGTAATAAAAAGAAAGCACTAACCACGGGACTCGAACCCGCAACCTTCTCCTCGCACGATCTTCGTAGGAGGGAGACGATCTACCATTGATCTAAGCCAGCAAGATGACGTAACTCGAAGAAAAATCAGTATATGTAGGCTTATCATCCCAGCCTTATCTTCCAAATTATTTTGTTTGGAACTGTTTTGATATGATTACTCTTCGGGAGACATCTCTGCAGTTGGCAATCATTTCATATGATAAGGGCCCGTTTGGTAGCCCTTTTTTTACCGCTGTATTTCTACAAACGCTGTAAAATAATCGGTTTTCAAATTTGGCCGTTTGGTAGCCCAAATTTCAAGATTATCGTAATGTATTAATTGAACGATAATCTCAAAATACTATGGTAATTTCATAATGCCCGTTTTCGGCATTATTTAATCCATAATCTGATTTCATTCCGTACGTGAGAAGGGAACTTGTCGAAAATTCACCCTTCTCTGTACCTCACTCTACCCTTCACCCCGTTTTCCCTTCGACTCCAACTCACCTCATTTCCTTTTTTTTGATCACCTTCTTCTTTTTTTGGTCTTCGTTTGACTTCCTCCAAATCCCATTCGACTCAATTCTTTTTTTATTCAACTTTCTTCTTCGTTCGACTTCCTTTCAAACTTTTCCAAATCCAATCAACTCGATTCTTCTTAATTCTTCTTACTTCTTCTTACTTCTTCGATTGACTTCCTCATTCCACTCGAACCGAATCAACAACATGCCAAAAGCTAAACCCGACAAAGTCGACGAAGCTGATGACGAAGCCAACGAATCTCCCAATTGGACTCACGCAAAGAGCCGAGCCTTGATCAACTCCCTCATCCTTCAAAAACTTGCTGGAAAGAAAGCCGCTACTGGATTCAAAAAGGAAGCTTGGACTGCGGTAGTCAAAGAATTCAATGATACCTTCAAGTGTAAACTCAAGAAACCACAGCTCAAGAACCATCTTCAAACGGTCAGTTTCTCATTTAATCAATTTCTTTCTCTTAAAACTATGCTGACCGATCATCAACCTTGTAATACTTAGGTTAAGTCCCAATACGCCATAGTCCATGCGTTGAGAGGAGCTTCAGGCGCTGGTTGGAACGAGGAAACTCAGATGGTAACTGCTCAGCCAGGGTTTTGGCCCGATTATTGCAGTGTAAGTTCTTACATGCTCAATGGTCAATATATATTCATACTGACTGCTGACAACTTTCAAAATCTGTAGAAACATAAAGGTGCTTCTGCCTATGAGAAGAAGCCCTTCCCGCTCTACGACCTCATGAACGAACTCTTCGGTGATGTCAACGCCACCGCCAATGGGATTATAGGAACTCAAACTGCGAATAGACCAATCACTAACCAAGCTATCAGTCCACCTGATGATGAGCTACCTTCTGACGATCCACCTGAAATCGATCTCATGGCTGAAAAGGAACCGGTTGCTAAGCCACCTGCCGTCGATCCCAAACCTGTCAATAAGCCACCTGCCGTCGATCCCAAACCTGCTGGAAAGGAACCTGTCAAAAAGCGACCTGTTGAAACTCGGACCGAGCTATCTGATGATGATGACGATGAAGCTTATCGTCTTCCTCCACCATTAAAGAGGCAGGGTAGGTTTTTTTAATATATTTGTATTGATCTTGTAACTAAGCTATGTCTTATTTACCTTTTGGATTTAGGCTTAGACGACACTCGCCATTACAGTGACCACTCGGGTGACACTTCAGATGAAAGTATCACTCAAACTGCGACTCCGGCGACTCCGAAACCTCGTGCTTACAACAAGAAGCCGGCTCCTCGAGTTAGACCAAACACCAAGGCCAAGCTTGCAAGTTCTTTGGACAATTCAGCTGAATTGCTCAAGAATCAAGCGGCTGAAGCCCTCGATCGCGATAGGGTACGATCAAAGGCTATCGCTGATCACGATGCTGCCAAGGAGTCGATGTTGATCACTGCTGCTCGATTGGATCGAGAATCTCAATCCTATCGATTCACCACCATCCCTTCTCAAGCGGAAGCGATGGAGATCTTCAACAAGGGCTGGAAGGACCACTTTTACAATAATCCCAAAGCTGCCACTGAAGCTATCCTTCTTTTCGAGCACGAGGACAAATGTCGAACATTCATCAATTCCGATGTCAAGTTGAGATGGAGCTGGCTCGCCCTGAGCCTTGGGTATGATGTTGTCAATGAAAAAGAAAAGGGAAAGGGAAAAGAGAAGAGAAAAGAAAAGGGAAATGAAGACGAACAAGAGGATGAAAATGATCAAGAGAATGAAAATGAAAATGATCAAGAGAATGAAAATGATCAAGAGAATGAAGGAAATGAATGATGGTTTTCATTTATTAGGATTAAATCCAATTTTTATTTCATATTACTTTATCAAATTACAATTATATGTTGTTGCTTTACATTAGTATAAGAATTGTATGTACAAAATGTCCTACTGGTTAAATACTTGATCCAAATGAAATATGAGATGTTAAAGTTTTTGTTTAAAAATAAAGGATACTTTCTATACTATTTGATGAGCTCTGAGTTTGAGTTTTTAGCCTCGATAGCGAGGATGAGCAATGTAAGCCTGCCACATGTCCATAGCAATTTGATCTCGAGCATCAGCAGCCTGTGTTCGAAGATGAGTTGAAGCCACCTGATAGACAGCCGCTGGTTCATTCTGCCAGCCTTCATCTTCATCGCCATCATTACCCTCCATGAAGGCATCCCCGCCACCTTTCCTAACAATTATGTTGTGTAAAGTACACATTGCTATCACTAATCTTGCTTGAAACTCAATTGTGAACGAGTGCATACTCGTGAGCATTTCGAATCTTTTTTTAATGACCCCAAATATTCTTTCGATTGCGTTTCGAAGACTGGAGTGACGTAGATTAAAAAGTTCTTTATAATCTTTGGGCCCAGCATTACCTTGGGCCCATTCCTTCAGATGATATCGAGTTCCACAATAGGGAGCTAAGAATCCTGGCTCATTGGCATAGCCTGCGTCGACAAGATAGAATTTGTCTTTAAAGGCATGAATATCAGCATTGGTACAAAAACAAAATGAGTGAGAGATTACATACTCGGTGGAACTACAAATCTCCCTTGCTGCCGAGCTACCTCCAGTACTTTGGCATCACAAGCGGATCCTTTGAAACCGGCGAGGACAAAGGAGAACATTAGGTTGAATGAGCAACCTGCTAATACATTCTGGCTTATGTAGCCTTTTCGATTACGCCACAGGTCTTGATCGGAAGTTTTAACGACAGCCTGTATGTGAGTGCCATCGATGGCACCGATACAATCCTTAAAAAAAGGATACCTCTTTGAATCATTGAGGATTTCGGGTGGGCATGGTGTTTGGGGACCAGGTTGTTTGATGAACTGGTCTGAGACCTTCTCTAGTGCTTCCGTTACTTTGTGAAAGTAGCGGCTGATGGTTTCTTTCGAATGCTGGAATCTTTCAGCGGCCATTCGATTCGAAGCGTGGTTTCCGATGATGTAAAGAAACATCATCACTTGCTCTCGAGTATCGATGTGTTTCGAAGGCATGAGATACACATCCAGAATGTCCATCAACGAGAGGAAGGTTGTCTTGTCCATGCGACAGACTTCTTGAAATCTGACCGGACTACCCTCAAACACTTCTCTAGCATACTCATTACCTCTGAGTCGAGAGGTACGGCAGGGGATGTTGGGAGCTAGTGCTGCGGTGAGAACTTCTCGAGCAGCGATGATATTATGTTCTAATTCGGCTCGGAGAGCATCTTCTCTTTCGGTTGATCCAAAAAGGTCGTCAGTTCGAATGCTCAGCATCGAATCCAGACTGTCGATAGACGCTGTTGGAGAGAGGTAATCTGACATGGATGATGGCGATGTACAGCTGTATGTACAAAGTTTGGATGATTTGGGTTTGATTTTACCAAACGCTATACAGCTGTAAACGTTACAATAATCTTGTACTACATTTCAAAATGGTTTTCAGCCATTACTGTAATTTTAGGGCAATAATGTATTACAGTTTTACGGTAGTGTACGATAATCCGTGGCTACCAAACGGGCCCTAAAGTATTACCCACCAACTTCAGGTTTGGCAAGCAAATCTCGCGCTGTTTTTCCCTTAGCTCAATAAGATGTCTTTTTTGAAGATTGTTTGATCAAAATGTCTTTGTTGATCCTTCACTTATCAGTGGTTCCAGTGGATGGCGTAGTAAATCAAATCCCAAAATTATTAACAGTTTTTCTTTGCAAACGTTTGGTCATAAATAACACAACAGTTTTCCCTTCACTCAAAGATCAGGGTATCGTAAAAAACAAATACATGATGATAAGGGTAATACATAGTATGAGCCAAGATCGAGTGATCTGGAAACCTGAAGGATTTTAAAAAGCGTACTGGCTGTGCCGAAGCATATGAGAAACTATAATTTGGTTTGTGGGTTATACCTACCCCTTTTGACGGTTTTAAAGATATTGCGTGCAAGCGAGCCTAATTAGTTTACAAACAACATACGGCAGAAAGATCAGTTAGGTTTTAATATCTCCGGCTCAATAAATATGTTCTGATCAACTCAAATGAATAGCTTACCTAATGAAGACCACCAACGATATCGATCGTAAACCCATCTTGATCAGCTCGCCAAGTACTACAGTCTCCAGAAAAGTCATCTAAAACTGGTGATGATCGTGTCAATACTTGTAGGTTGTTAGTGATAGGTTGACCAGTTCTTAGGCTTAGACTTGCGGTGGTGACGACTAGAATTCCTCGAATGTCTGCCACTGAAGCCTGAAGATGGTTCGATCATATAACAGACATTCAGAATTCAAAATGACTTTAGTCTAGCTGATGTTTTCCTGTCAACGATTAAAGCTGTACTAACGAGATTTCCATCTTCTGCTCGACTTTCTAGGTCTCGCTCTTCGCTTTCAGCACGAGCCGCGTCAAGAAGATCGGAAAGGAATGTAGCTTTTTTGACTTCGGTGTCTACAACACGTTTTGGCCGGGAGTTTAACATACATAACTATATTGTGAGGACACAATCGGATTATCGATTAGCTGGTGGAATGTTATTGACAATCTTTGAAAAACACTCACGAGCGAAGACGAGTATAGTCTTACGAGACAAAGGCTTGCTGGAACATGTGATTCTTCACTACGATTGTTAATTTTGATCAGACGATCACATATGAGCCAAGGCAAAGTATAATCACAGACGTACTATGCTAACAAGAATAAAATTAGGTCCATGAGACAGAAAGCTGCAGTTAGGGAATTGTTTCCAATTGTCAAAGCAATTAATTTCCTAAAGCTACGGCAAAGCAGAATAGTTAAAGACTTTATTAACAACAAGTCTGGCCAGCAGTTGGTTTATAACTAGCTTTTCTTACCTGCTTTCCTTTTTGTTGATGGTATCTTGCTGTTGTAACTGTAACCATACCATAGTAGTCATAATGAACACATCTGTCATCGCTGCTCCTCCAAGCCAACAAGAGGCGCTGATCTGCGAAATCCGAAGACTTGCATCGGAGGTTTTTGTGGTACAATAGCACATAAACTATAG